GCTCGTCCTGGCGACGGCCCTACGGTCTTTGTTAAAGGCGCAATATATGTGCTCTAAGCATCGCCTTTTCATGTTAATCGCGGCCGATTTGAGTATTTGTTTAGCTTAAGCGGCGCGCTGCTGACAATGGCCGATTCCCGGCCGCATAGTTTAGGAGATCGCACCTCTCTCTGTCTATGCATGCTCGGTGTCACCTCCGACCGTCGCTAAAGGCTCCCGTGTTTGCCTTGCAGTCTGCAAGACGTGCATCGTGCGGTACTTGGAGACGAGCAAGTACTGCCCGATCTGCGACGTCCAAGTGCACAAAACCCGGCCGCTGCTCAACATCAGGTAGGGGCGGGCGCGCCGCGCGGGGCCGCGCCGTTGGGCGATCTTATCTCCGCGTCGCGATTTCAATCTGAAAGGAGCCGTGAATTTACGGGCTGCCTCGCGGCCAGGCGCTCTCTTTGGACTTTTGTCATTGATGGAAGCCGAAGGTTCCGCCGGGTGCGAGCGGAGTCGCGTCGGGCTTTGCGGAGGGAGGCTGCGGTGGGCACGGTGCCGTCCCCGCGCCTCACAGCGCCCGCAGCTCCCGTCGCCGCTTGCCGTTTCCCATGGCCAAACCTCGGCCCCCCAAACTTACCGGAACTCCGGCAGCGGAAAGCCGAACCCTTTCGGCATGCTTCTGCTGCCAGAAGCGTTTTCTCCGCGCCGTTCCTTTCTGCCGCTCCTCGTTTTCTGTGGAGGAATTGTAGGTTTAGGCAGAATGATTTTTCGGCGGCACTGCCGCGGTAGACCCGACTTTAGTTTTACAGCGGTGCTCAGAGCTGCGTTAGTTTGATTTTAAGCTCCTGTAAGCTGCGTTTTATGGGCGGCCTCCCGCGAGGCCGGGAGTCCCGCCTGCTGTTGGCAGAGGTTACACGGCAGGAGCTGCCGCTCGCATCGAAACGCTGCTTCGTGCGCTCAGCACTGTGCTCAATGCTTCTTTCCAGGTCAGATAAAACTCTCCAGGATATTGTGTACAAGCTCGTGCCGGGCCTTTTCAAAAGTAAGTACCAAAAAGCAGAAGAAATACCCCGAACCCAGAACTGCTCTCCCGCGTCCCTGCCGGGAGCTGCAAGGAGGTTCTGATGCCCCACGTGTGTTTTTCCCCAGATGAAATGAAAAGAAGAAGGGATTTCTATGCTGCTCATCCGTCGGCTGATGGTAAAAGCTTCTCACTCCCGACCCTAATCGATGGCGCGTTGCCCCTGGTGCTCTACTCTTTCCTTTTTAACTCTCAAGCGCTGTGTTGTCGGGGTGGAATTTTAAGAAGTAAATTCAGCATGATAAAAGTTTGCTGCTTTGGCGGTTCCGTAGATTTAATCGTAATCTCACCGTGGGGATTTTTTTCTTTTCCTCCTCACCGAGAATTGCCCTTCTTCCTGATTTGAATTTCAAAATGTAAATTATTGTGGAAATTTCTGCGCAGCTGCCAATGGCTCTAATGAAGACAGGGGAGAAGTGGCTGACGAAGACAAAAGAATTATAACAGACGACGAGATAATAAGCTTATCCATTGAGTTCTTTGACCAGAACAGGCAAGTTCCTGAGTGGCAGTATTTTATGCTCACCTGACCGATAGCAGCTCTTTGTTATTTGTTGTAATTGTTTCATTTCTCCTCGCAGACTGGAACGAAAAGGAAATAAAGAGAAAGAAAAATCAAAGGAGGAGGTAAATAACTTTCCTTTACCCCAGAGAAATGTGGCACAGCCGCGAGCAGTTCCTCGTGGGTTTGTAGCTGGGAAAAATAGCTGGTTTGTGACGAGGACAAAAGGAGCACACCTCCCAGCGCTGTGGGTTTCCTGCAGCCCCACGTGCTGCCAGCTCCTAGAAACAGCAAGTAGCAAATGCTGGCAGTGTCACTCTTAAAGTTGAATCTGATTTTTTCTGTGTGTGTGATTTTGTAATAAATAAATCATTTATTTATTTATTTTAGTCAGCCTGTAATGCATATGCATTGTTGAAAGAGATGTAGTGTGAGATGTAAGTCTTCTTTTGTAAAATCAGTGGCTTTTTAATTATTTTTTTCTGGAGCTGTGATTTACCATGTCATTCCGTTGTCCCTTAGAAGAGCAGAAATTGCCGTATTGCAGTTCTTAATTGAACAATGTGCATTTTTAAAATGTCACCTATGATGGTAAGAGTGCAGCTTTGGTGACCCGTGCCCTTTGTTGTGCCGATAGGTGAATGACAAGAGATACTTGCGCTGCCCGGCAGCAATGACAGTGATGCATCTACGAAAGTTCCTGCGGAGCAAGATGGACATCCCCAACACTTTCCAGGTACCTTGCTGCTCCATCCCTGCTAATGCTGCTGGCATCCTACATGCTTTGGGTTTCTGGCCGTGTATGTATGGAGTTGGCAGCATGCTGGTGGGAGTGAGGGTGTTATTTAAAATACCTCATGGAGGGTTTGGCCATGCTGCAGATATTGAGGTGTGAGGGGATTAATTGATCTTTTTAGTATATGTGAAAATTCCCAGTTCCCTTTGTGCTGGGCCCGATGCTTTGGAGCGCTCTGAGGCTGCCTTCAGCACAGAGCCGCACGCTGACACTGGGCTGCACCTCCCGGCAGATTGACGTGATGTACGAGGAGGAGCCCCTGAAGGACTACTACACGCTGATGGACATTGCCTACATCTACACCTGGAGACGGGTAATGTCTTGGTGGCACGCAGCGGCCTGGCGAGGCGGTTCCTGGGGTTCTGACGGGTCTCTTGCCTTGCAGAATGGCCCGCTGCCCCTCAAGTACCGCGTGAGGCCCACCTGCAAGCGGATGAAAATCGGCCACCAGCGAGAAGGCCTCAGCAACAGCGGCGAGCTGGAGAGTGACTCCGGCAGCGACAAGGCCAGCAGCCCGGCCGGGGGGCTGCCCTCCACCTCCTCCTGCCTGCCCAGCCCCAGCACGCCGGTCCAGTCTCCCCACCCGCAGTTCCCACACATCTCCAGCACCATGAACGGCACCAGCAGCAGCCCCGGCAGCAACCACCAGTCCTCCTTCACCAACAGAGCACGGAAATCCTCCATAAACGGCTCCTCGGCCACTTCGTCCGGCTGACAGCCCGGCCCCGACCCTCCTCTCTATAGATCTCTCATGCCATTACAGCTTTATAGATGCTAATACACGTGACTCTCGTCCAAACTGCTTTCTTTTGTAGTGACACTGAACTTGGCTATAAAAGGCGAACTAGGTGACATTTGCTGTGGACGTTAATTGCGACGCGAGATTGAAATGTAAATGGTTTCCAAAGGACCGGGAAGCAAACAGAAGTAACACCTGGGTGTGCTGAGTGCTGCGGGGCCCTCAGCCCGACCGAGCTGGTAGAAGCCCTGGGATATAGCTGGTTAACCCAGACTAACTCCTCCACCGCGTTCTCTTCGATTGTTATTGTTATTATGCCGTTTTGTGAACCTGTAGAAAGCAAGTGCTTTTTCATCTTGAAATTCGACGAAACAGAAAGGATATGCATAGAATAATGCATATATGTAGCCATGTCACTGTGAATAACAATTTTTGCGTATTAGCCATTTTGATTCTTATGTTGCATCCTTAATTCTCTGTTGCTGCACAGAACCGATCAAACGAAAAGTAAACTTCAGTTTTACAATCTGTATGCCTAAAAGCGGGTATTACCGTTTTATTTACTGACTTGTTTAAATGATTCGCTTTTGTAAGAATCAGATGGCATTATGCTTATTGTACAATGCCATATTGGTATATGACATAACAGGAAACAGTATTGTATGATATATTTATAAATACTATAAAGAAAATATTGTGTTTCATGCACTCATGATATGGTTGTTAAATTTCAGAACCGGTTCGACCCTTGCAGATGCCGCCTGGTTGAGCTCTGCTCGCACTGCCGTAGAGCTGCAGCGCTGAGGAAGCACAGCCACTCTGATAACCTGGAGGCGATTGCCAATCCCGAAAGCATTTGACTGCCTTTGTCTTTTTTTTTTTGTTGTTGTTGTTCCCCCAAGTGGTCTATTTTACTTTACCAAATGTTGTTGAAGTGATGAAGTGAAGGAAAAAAAAAAAAAAAGCAAAAAAAAAAAAACAACAAAAAAGTTAAGGGAGATGAAAGTAATTGACGTGCTTGATTGCCTTTTTATTACTTGGTGTGGTGGGGACTGTGTTTTTAAAAGCACACGGAATCATTATAGAAGCCATAAACTATTTGGTATAAATTTTAAGGAGCCAGCAGTTCGCTGGGTGAAGGCATTTTATCTAAATTTCTTTTAATATATACGGATATGGTACAGTACTAACTTCATTAGAGCTTAACAGGTACTTGACTCCTTCGATAAATTGCGGAGAATGCCTCCTCGGGGAGGGCCGCCAGTGGGGGCGTTTCCTGGGGGCTCCTGAGGGTTTGGTTTGTTCAGCAGAAGGAACTTTCCTGACACCAAACAGAATGGCCCGGAACACTTTTCAGTTTGTTCTTTGCTTTGGTCGAACTTCGTGTGTGTTCATCGCCCACCAGTTATACATTTGTGAGGGTGTTTATTCTATATGGATATTGTTTCATGTTTGTACGGGAAAATTGTAGTTAAACATTTCATTGTCTCCAGTCTGCAAAAGAAGCACAATTCTATTGCTTTGTCTTGCTTATAGTCATTAAATCATTACTTTTGCATATAAATTGCTGTTATTTGTCCCGCTTGTTTTTATAGACCAGGTGATTGCAAACCCTCCACAAGGTTCTTGCTTATTGATGTATAATGTCTTGTTAAACAAGAGTTGATATTTTTTCCTGTAGTAAACATGTACAGTTCGATTTCAACGGTAAAAAACTTCAGTTTTATATACACGAATAACTTTCATTTATAGTTGATCAAAGAAATAAACAAATAAAAGGGATAATTCATTGAAAAAAAGAGCAGATGAACTTTGTCGGTAACGCGGCGTCGAAGGACAGACATACTGCTCTCGTTGCAGTCTGTCGGGTCGGACGAAAGCTGGGCAATGAGTGGAGCGGCGCGGCAGTGCCAGGCAGCCCCGCAAGGCTCAGTGCCGTGGCAGCCCCGCAAAGCTCCGGCAGTGCCGTGCCGGCTGCGGCGCTCGCAGCGCACGGCCGCGGTGCGCCGGGCGGTGTGCCGGGCCCCGCCGGGAGCTGCGCGTCGAGCGGCATGGCTGCGAGGGCGGAGAGCGTGGCAGGGCCGGGCTGGAGGAGCGCGGAGAGAAGCTGCGGAGCCGCGGTTGTGTGTAAGGTGCTCCGTGCGGCCGTGTCTCGGCGCGGTTCCCTCGGCTGTCGGCTACACGCTTCGTCCTGTCGGAAGCGGTACGCGTCAAACCCAGCCCCGAGCCTAAAGCAAAGCGCTGCGCGTTACGCACGGTCGCAGAACGGTGCTCTGTTTGTCTCGGGAGGAGCTGAAAATCACCACTGTCCGAGTTTAAATCAAACTTCTCGTCGTGAAGTCTCCGTGCAGAGCGAGGCGGTGACACGGGATAGATGCCTCCCTCCGAGGGCCGTTCAGCTCTCCGCCTTCTCTCCGCTCCTCCGCCAGAAGTGGAGCGGCCGCCGCAGCCCCTCCCGCCGCACTCCCGCAGCAGCCGCCGCTCGGGCTCCCGCGCGGGGCTCGGTCCGGGAGCGGGGCAAGAAACTCAGCCGGGCGCTGCGCGGCGTTCTTCTGCGAGAAGACGGAGGGCGGGGGTCTGCGGCAGCGCTTGCGGGTTCCCGCTGCTGGAAAAGAGCTCCCAACCAACTGATCGTGACAGGAGGCTGCTCATCCCCCGACGTTTCATTTGTTTGGATCGGGGAAGAAAAGCCGAAGTTCGCGGGATTGTAGGAGCGCGTTCAGCAACCCGGCCGAATAAAAGCAGGGGCGGGTGTGGTGCTGACTCTATTCGGCTTTCCGCCCATTCTGACTGCTCGCGTCTCCCTACCGGGCTCTGGGGATGGCGGGCTCGGAACGGGGCATTGGCAGGAGGAGATCCGGGGCAGCGGGCAGGAGGCTGCCGGAAAGGCAGAGGAAGGCTGTGAGGAGCCTGGTTCCCCCCGCGGCGCGCATTGCGGTCGGAACGCCGCGTCTCTCTCGGCTCGGAGCCGTGTCTGTGGCGAGAGCGGGAAGATGCGGGGGGCCCCGCTCTCCCCGAGAGGCCCTTCCCGGCTTTCTGGTGATGGAGAAGGCTCTGAAACGCTCAGGCGGGGACGACAGGCGTCCTGCCGGGCGGAATGCCGTTGTTTTTCCTTTTTCCCCTCTGCCGTCGAGGACGTGCCGCTCGCCCCGGGCAGCCCGGTCCTGTCCCGCTCGTTTCGCTGCGGATGCTCCAGGTCAAGGCGCGACAGGATAGGCTCGCGGACCTACCCCTCAGCCCTCACCCCGCGAGTCCTTCGCCCCTGCCTCGGTCTGTCCCGCGGGCTCGGAGCACTGCCCGTCCCCTTTGGCCGCCGGCGAGGCCCGCGGAACTCCCGCACATCCCATCCACGAACCGTACCGCTCAGCCCGGTGTGGCGGCGGCACCTCGCGCCCTCCCAATGTTCAGAGGGTGAAATTCGGAGACAATGTTTACCCAGCCAAGTGTTTCCTGTTTCCGCTGTTAATTTTTAACGTCCTCGCTTCTACTCTGGGTACTTGAAACGGATTTCCTTCATTTTACTACAAACTTTCTTTTTCACGATCTCTCCAGAGCCGCGTTTGTTTTACAACCGCGGAGAGAATAAACAGCAATAACAAGAAGAAGAATGAAGGGCGAACCGGAGCGGCGGGGCGGCACGGAGCGGGCACAGCCTCGGGGCCGCAGAGAGAAGGAAGCCGCCCTTGGGGCCGCGCAGACGGGGCGGGAGGCGGCCGCGCACCGCTCCTCTCCGTGCCGGCGGGGCCGCAACCGGCTGTACTGGGGCGGCCGCATCTCCGCCGCCGCGGAGCGGAGCGGAGCGCGGCCTCCGCCAGGGCAGAGGCCATTTTGCGCCTGCGCAGCTCTCCCGCCTCGCGCCTGCGGAACTTCCCCCGCGCTCCGCCGGATTCGAACGGGACCCGCGCAGGACCCGCGCAGCACCGCGCACCCGGCAGCGGGGCACCCCGTTTCCCCTCCAGAGGCATCCGCAGAGCCCGACGGCTCCGCGCCGGCCTTTCCCTCGCCACCTCCGCGCTAGGTGCTCGGGGCTCGTAGGCTGTGCAGCTGGTTTGTTGCTAGTGGCAACCACACGACAGCGATTTGCAGCTCGTTCTGCTGCCGGAGCCTCTCGTTCCACCTTCTCGCGCACACCGGCACGTCGCCGGAGGGTCCTCACTTTCCAGCCGCGAGGACAACGGTGGGGCTGGCAGACGGGGCGGGCGCCGAACGTCGCGCGGATTTTGCGTTTCCCCCGTTCGTTTGCGAGCTGCCCGCGACCGCAGCCCGGAGCCAGGGTGGGCGAAGCGATCGTGGGACCCCGTAGGGAGGTGCAGGCAGCGCGCACCCGTAGCCCCAGCGGTGGACACGAAGGGAGAGCTCATTCCTTTCCACTGCCCAAACAAACGCGGCTCCGGCTTTCGGTTTTGGACAGTCTAAAAATATTTATTTTGCATTATTATTGTTATTATTTTGATGGTACTGCAGAGAAGCCGTCGGTTCCAGGGGAAACCAGAGGTGCAACCATCCGCAGGTGGCAAAAGGGCTAAGCCCCAGCAGCTGGCATTTCCTGGCCCCATCCCGCAGACAACCCGAAACACTCTGCCCATTTCCCATCTATTTCTCTCTCATCGTTTTTGTTCTGCCTCTGCCCACCGTGGTGGCGACGCACAGCTCCCCACCGGCAGGAGCCGTGCGATGGTGGAACCGCGGCAACACATGGTAATGTCCTCTTCGGTGGGGAAAAAAGAGAAGTCCTCTTCCCAGTGCCCCGACTTCGATGCCTTAGCCCCACAGAACTACTTCGTTCCATAGGAGAGTCCCACAAATGGAACCCGATGCCGGGAGCGCGGGGTGGCACCGCGGGACACCGAGAGCCACTGGGAGCCGTGTGGAACAGCTGTAGCGGAGTGGGCTGCGGGACAGCCCCGATGAAGTCCCGCCTGGAGCCGGGTTGGTCATGACAAAGCCGACCTTAGGCTGGAAAATTAAACCATTTCTTGAAACGGTTCAAATATTTCTCTTGCAGTGCATGACCTATCCCGGGCTGCACACCCTTCGCTCAGCGATGGAGCGTCTCATTCCCCAACAGTTCGACCACTCGTGACCCCCCATTCAGCAAGCCAAGCACTCGAACCCCGAACCGCGGGGGAAAACCCCCGGCTGTGCGCGTCGTCCTCCCACCGGCACGAGTTAAAATCTCTTTTTTGCAAACCTATTTTTTTGCTTAGAGGTGGAACCATCCGCCCGACGGGGACACTCCATGGGAACACCCCGTGGGGACATCCCGCGGGCACATTCCACAGCCGCTGTGTGGTGCGGCGGGATACGTCGCCTTCTTTCTGCCGGAGCCGTAATGGTAGCGGCTGCATCGCGGTACCGCTGGGCACGGGCTGTCGGGGGACGTCAGCTGAGAGGCGACGGCCGCGGAACACCCCCGGCCGTGCCACTGCCTGGCACCCCGGCCCTCCAGAGCCCCACGAATACCTTTACCGTCCACCTAGCCGGGGAAAAAAGCTGCGTCCCGGCGCCCTCCGGCCGCTTTTCCCAAGGAATCAAAAGCGAGGATAAGGCACAGCCGCCAGAACGCTAGACGCGATACCGATCGGGACATTTGGTGGCCGTTCTCCCGTCCCTGCTTATTTCTGAAGCCGACGCGCCCGCTCACGGCGACGTCACAGCCGTCAGTGATTTTCCGTTCTCGGTACTTTTGCGAGAACTCCGGCGACGTTTCCGCAGCCGCGTTCGCGCGGCGTTTGGTCCCGCGATGCCGTCCGCTCCGCGCGCTGCTGCGGCCACGCAACGGCCCCGCGCGGTGCGGGGCTGCGCTGCTCCGAGCGTCGGGTTCACGGCGAAACAGAGAAATGAATCGATCGGCGATCGGCGCAGCTGCTTTTGGAAAATAACCCCGCGAGCCATTCATCACCGTTTGTTTATTTATTTATTTTTAAATTTGAGTTACTTAAGAACAGAAATAAGCGCACGGCAATGTGTTTAGCAGCTGTTCCCTTCCCGAGTCCACATGGCGATAATTTCTCCAAATATTTTTGTGACAAACGGCCCCGGCGATCCCATCCTACCCGCCTCATCTCCCCGCGCCCGCTCCGTTTGTTTGCTCTCGGGGAGCGACGTTGGTGTTAAGGGCGGCGGGCAGCGCGAAGCCCTCGGCGGCCCCGGCACGGATCCCTTGCGCTCACCGCTGAGCGCACCCGGGGGTCGGGGGGTTAAAACTTCGGCGACTTTCTTCCACTTCTCCGAACTTTTCCAATGAATTTTCCCTCCCGACTTCGAGCCGCGCGCCACAACTTTTCCTCACCGCCCACCGCACGGGGCGGCCCCTCGGGGTCGGCCCACTCCGAGCCCCGCGGAGCAGCACGAGGCCCGCGGTGTCCCTGCGGCTGCCCTCGGGAGCTCGGGCCGGTGTCGGCGGGAGCCGCTCCACGCGGCGCTACCCGCAGCTCGGCCGGGGCGGCGAGAACTGGCAGAGAGAAAGAGGGAAAGAAAAGAAAAGGAATAAAAGAAAGACAGCGAACTGAAAGGACCCCGCGAGAAGCACGGGGTGCTGCGGCCGCCCCGCTTTTCCTTTCTTTTTCCCTCCCCCGGGGCGACGGCACCCTCAGCAGCGAGGGCGGCTGCTGACCCCGGCCCGGCCCCGAGGGACTCCGCGCTCCGCCAGCAGCTCCGCGCACCGCGCCGGGACGGGGCGGGGGCGGGGAGGGCGGGACGATGACGTCACACTCCGCGGTTAGGCCCCGCCCCCCGCGCCGCTTCCGCCCGCCCGGTTGCCGCGGCGACGGGTACACGGCGCGGGCGCGCGGTCTCC